ATTTCATTGATGAAGAAACTGAGGCACAGTGGCCCGCTCACACTCCCACAGCTGCTGAGGGCCAGCTCTGACAGGCTGGTTGTGGAGCCAGGTCAGGACGTCCATGTGTGTGGCAGTCCCCCAAGGTCATGCACAGGCGGTTCACCATGAAACCTCCCGTGTTTAGGGCCGGCTCTGGAAACGGCCATGAGAACAGTAACACGGAGGGAGAGGAGACTGCCCGGTAGCCTTCGTCCTGCTCCCAGGCGCCCTGGGTCTAGAGGAGCAGAGAACCCAAAGGAGGCGGCCATGGGAGGCAGCCTCCCCTCCCCCACCCTCCACTGGCTAACAGGCTCTGTCCCTTCAGAGGAAAGAACACCAAGGTATGTGACTAAGACCAAAAACAAGCAAAAGATCCGAACCCTGAAGGACATCGCTCCCCCTTCGGCAGGCACAGGCCTGGGGGTCTTCATCCCCGGGGCCGTCAACAGGACCTTTGTCACCCCACCCCTACCCCTACTACCAGGGTCAGGATGTGGCCTGCATCTCCTGTTCTTCCTCCTTTACTGTTTTCCTGGAGTGTCTGCCCCCAAAGCCTGTGCCCTGGGCCCTCTAAGGGCCTCCTTCAAAGGTGGATCCAGGAGTTTGAGGGTCCTCCCCCTCCTCCTCCTCTTCCTGCACCCTCCCCTCCAGCCCAACTGCCTTCTAACAGGAGGGCGGGCTCTGGGGTGCAATTTCAGGTCAGCTGAGAGGGGCTGGGTGGCCCTGGGCCTTCCTCTTCCACTGCCTGTGCAGATCAAGGTGTGATGGCGGGTGACAGGCTTTTCTTCTGGTTCCTGCATATTCTTCTCAGGCCCCAGGGCCTTGGTGCACTACAGGGATTCACCACAGGGGTGGTTCTGCCCCAGTATGGAGAGAACAGCAGCTATTAATGTGCTGGGAGTGCTAGAGAGCCTGGAGCAGAGACTCAAGGCCAGTCCATCCCCCTAGGAAGTCATTATGCTGCTGGGGCCCAGCAGGAGCCAACCAGGAACCAAACCTTCCACCAGAATGCAGAGGGCAAGTCAGGGCCCAGGATGCAGAGAACCCAGGGAGCTGCTCCTGCTTCCGGGACAGTCTGACACCTGTGAGGAGTCTGCCACACTTCCCCATGGCAGCAGTGCTCCAGGGACAAGGGGGTCCACCCACTGTCCTCATCCATCAGCACCCGAGGAGGACACCTGCTGGGCCATCTCATAGGGCCTGCCCTTGGTGGCCTTTGGTCCAAAACACCATTTCCAGGGACTGAGACTTGAGAGACCAGGAGGGAGCCCAGTCGGGCTTGTGTCATAGGTGGAGCCAGGGATCAGCTCTGGATCCATCAGGAGTCAGCCCCCAGCCCCCATCCAGTCTAGACTGGCTGCCCCCTCCAACCTCAAGGCAGGCCCCAGGGGGCCCAGACCCCCACCCCAGCCCTTCCCTCAGAGGATGTGCCTGAGCCCAGAGCAAAGCCATCCATTCCTAAGGCTGCAGACCCAGCCTCGGCCAGCAGCCCAATGCCCTCTCCCACTCTCTGTGGGCCTGTGGGTGCAACAATCAGCCTTTGTCCTGCCTGACCTGAGCCTGAGCCATGGCATCTGGGACCCTCCTGCTCTCTCCTGAAAGCTCTGGGACAGAGAGATTACCCCACCTGCGTCAGGTCAGGTTGAGGAGTGACTTATGGAAAGCTTAGGAGCAATCTTTCTCAGTGGAGCTTGGTTGTGATGACACACGCATGAGCCCCACCATCACACTTAGCAGTTTCCAGAGAATAGCTCAGACTCACTGACTGTTGATCAAGGCAGGCCTCTGGTTCTGGAAAAAGTGGAAAAGTCACTTCTCAACTCCCAGAACAAACCCCTGAGAGACCTCTGCCTGTAATTCTCCCCCTTTAGAGAGGAGGAAGGAGAAAACCCGGGCAGTGTCCTCACCCCTTCCAAACAGCCAAGAGAGGGGCCCACAGCACAGGAAGATGACACAGGGCCAGGGGTCAGTGGGCACAGCCAGGGAAGGCCAGCCTCGCCCACTGTCCTGCACCGGCCAGCAGGGCCGCCCCTACTCCCTGGGGACTGTATGAGGGTCCCAGGCTGGGGCAGCACAGAGAGGGTGCCTGCCCTGAACTTGGGAGACTCTCAGGGGCCCCTGGCTCCCTGCCCCAGCTTCTCACTGAGAACTGTCCCCACTGTCCTCGCCCCCATAACAACGTCGAGGGGGTGGGCTGGCCTACCAATGACCACTCCAGACTTCCCTGGATCCATGCGGGCTGGGCAGTGACTATCAAATGCAGATTCCTGGGCCCACCCTGGACCTAGTGACTCAAAATCTCCAGGCTGTGTATGTGACAAGCAGGCCGAGGAGGGTGTGAGCTGCCCAGTGGCTCTGAGCTGTCCCTTCACTCCCTGGGGGGAGAGCAGGGAGCCAGGCGTTGCCCAGGGCTCCCAGGTGGGCGGGGTCCCCTGTTCACGATCCCTCCTGCTGCGGGCAGTTCATCCCGGGTGTCCGGGTGAATGCAGGAACCTGGACGTGACCTGCTGTCACCCAAGAAGTCCCACCCTGGAGACCGGGGCATCTGGGCAGCTGCCGCCCCTCTCGGAGCCTCAGTTTCCTCCCAGCTCTGGAAAGTCAGGTTTCTGCTGCTACATCTCTCAGCCCAGGAGTCCTCATGGGGCCTTCTCCGTGGAACCGGAATGTGGACCACCCACCAGAAAGCTGCTCTGTCACCCTGCCCGCCACCCCACTGCCTGATCCTGGTCTGGGGGTCGTTTTGGCCGATAGGTGAGCATCTAGGGCAGGTCCCAGGTCACTGTCAAATAATAAAAAGTCCCCAGTCACCTTGGGTCACAGACATAGGCTCATGTTAGTAACTACTGTGTCCAGTTCACTGTAACAATGGAAACTGCAAACCGACTCCAGGTGGCTCCCCCACCGCATCCCAAGAAGTGCACCCTACAAGTGCTGCCTCCCACCAGGTTACCCTACCCCTCTGAGTCCCCAAGCTCCTGAGGGGCAGGCAAGGAGGGGGTGCCCTGGAGAGGGGGTGGCACTCCAGCAGGCTCTATCCAAAGAAATGTTCTCTCCATTCCAGCCATTCTTTTAGGGGCTGCTCTGCACACAGGCTGGGGGGAGGGAGCTGGGCTAATGACTTCACTGCCCCTTTCCAGGCATTTCCTTCCCAGATTCTGAAAGTGGGGGGTACCTCCTGGTATTTTGAGAGAAGTTTCCTCTTGGGGCCTGGCTGGAGCTGAGACAAACAGCGTCCTACATTAACATCCTGTGCTGTGAATGGTGTCCCAGGGTCAGGATGCCCCTGGCTTAGAAGGGAGGAGGAGGAGGAAGAAACAGAGACTGTGGTTCCAAAAGGAATGTCCCCCTTGGGTGGGGACAGGGAACAGGCCAGAAGCAGAGCCCTGGGTGCAGCTGTTGGGGAGGGGAGACCCTGGACGTTCCACCGGGGCCTGTGTGGGTGCACTGGGACCCCACCGCCTGCAACAGCAGCGTGGCCTGTGGGCTCCAGGGGCTCAGAGAGCCAGGGTCACAGGCCTGGCTGGGCTGCCTTCCACCTCCCGTGAGGACCCTGAGCTTTCAGAAGGCAGGAGCTCTGGGGTGGGGTGCTGGGCAGGGCAAGGTTGCCAGGCCCCACCCTGAGCCATCGCCCTTCCTGCTCTGGTGGGCAGTGTCCCTGCCTTGGGAGGGGAGGGGAGCCCCATCTCTTGGCCCTGGAGGCCAAAGGAGAGACTCGGATGTGATCTGCTGATCTATCTGTAAACGGTGGGGCTGGGCGTAGAGGTGTCCAGGGTTTCTTCTAGATGCCACTTCCTTGACCCTGGCTGGCCCCAGGACTTGACGTCACTCTGGATACACGCAGGTGTGAGCTCCACTCAACCCTCACAGATGCAGTGATACGGGGCCACCAGGCGACCTCAGTCCCCTTAGCCCTTTTCCCCAAACCCTCCATGGATGACAGAACCTGCTCCCTGTGCTGGTCACACCCTCCCGCCTCCAATCAGGCAAGAATAAGTTGTGGTCCTGTTTTTAAACTGTCATGTTTTTTGGACAAACTCTTTTACAACCAACTATTCCACACGGGGATGGGGGGCGAGGGTTGCCGGGAAAGGAGTCTCCGTGACTGCATCACTGGAGGCCCACAGAACACACACAGCAGCCCCTCCCAGGTAAGGGCTGGTGGCCCCTGGGGGGTTTAGGCTGAGGGTGGTCTGAAGTTCCTGATGCAGTGAGCACTGTACTCTGAGCCCAGGGTAGCAAGCGCTTTCAGGCAGCCACCAGTGGAGCTGTGTGGCTCAGCCTGAGGAAGAACCCACCACAGGTAGGGAGGCCCTTAGGACTGCTCAAGGTCAGCCAAGGCAGGGGATCCCTTGCGCCAGCCCTCTCCCCTCCTCCCACTCCACACACAGGGCCGAACGACTGTGGTAGAGCAAACCATGGCCTGTTTTATTATTTCCAGATCCAAGTTGTGGAAAATATGTTCTTTCCCCTGAAACTTGCAAAGGCCAGAGGAGAATACTCCAGATTCGGCTCCTCCCTCACCAACCCAATCTCCAAACCTGGGTTGGTGATGCTCAGGCTTCTTTTGCTGATATTTGTAAACGAAATCCTAACCCTGGACAAAGCTGGGCACCTCTACAGGGACGTCGCTCTCCCATAAGAGCTTCCTCTGCGCCCATGGGAAGCGGGTCAGAGCGCAGCTTCGGAGCAAGCGCGCAACGGATGGACCCTAGCCGGCTCCCAACATCTGACCCATGTTGCGAATTTGGTTTTTCCACCTAAATCCTGGAGACTGTTTCCCCCATTGTAGTTGTTCTAGGAGGGGCCAAACGAGTGGGTTAGGGGAGACTTTCCTCACCCTGGCCCCGCCATCCCGATGTTCCTGGGACCAGCGCTACTTGTGCATCTGGTCCGGACGGGTGTGCGGAGCCCCAGCGACAGCTCGCGGCACGGTTCGTCCCGCCCCCTCCCCGGCTCCGGCGCGCCAGCCACTCACTCACAAGCTCGAAGATGAAAAGCAGTTCGGGGAAGGTGGTGAAGACAGCGAAGCCGCTGGGCAGAGTTCTGCCGTCCATGGCGGCATGCTGGCTTATGTGTCGGGACAGGACGCGCGGGGCTCCGGCTCCGCGCTGACCACTCGCTTGCTCGGCGGAGCCGGGTGGCCTGGTCGCCCCGCAGGCGGGTTGAGATAAGAGGCGTTCGGGGCTCAGGGGGGAGGAGCCCGGGCCGCCGCCCGCCCCGCCCCCAAGGGACCCTGCCGGAGTGCCTCGGGCGCCGCCCTGAACCACCCGGAGGGCGCACAGAGGGCTTGCCGAGCTGGGGCGGGGGCCTGACTGCTGTGTCCCACCTCCGAGCGCTATTTCCCGTGGGGAACAGGAAAAGCCACTTTAGCGACGAGTTTCGCACGCTTTGCCCTCTTCGCGGGGCATCACCATCCCTTAAGAATGAGAACCATCAATAACTAGGCTCCCAAAACTCCCCACTGCGGCACCGCTCGGGTCACGATTACTTTAACTGTTTTTGAGTTGTGTCTCCATCTTTCAGTCGGTGCGTTAATATGAGCGATCTCCGCGTCCAAACTCGCCGTGGGACGAGCTCCTGGTCCTGCCCGCAGCTGCAGGCTGGGGGTCTGCAGGGGCGTCGTTGGGACCGGCTCTGGCCACCACTCCTTCGCCCTGCGGCTTCGGAGCGCCAGGTACTCTGCACCCACAGTCCGCTCCACTTGATGCTGGAGCTTCAGTCTGTCCGTCTGAGGGGAGGAGGCCGCTCTCAGCCCTGCCAGCCCCGGAGGAGGGCGGTGGAGGCGGCGCTGGGGCCGATCTGCATTGAATCCAAGGGACAGGAAGGGCCTCCTAGAGCACGTCCCTACCCTTCTCTCAGAGGGGGCGGCCCTGCGCCTCCGCGGTGGGAGGACTCCCCCTCCCCACGTCCTTCTACTACCCTATGCTGCTGGTTTTTTGTTTCTGGAGCACAATTTCGTTCCTCTATTTTGACTGTATTTTTAAACAAGTATCACACTCCAGGAGTTCGCCTGTTTATTTTAATGTAGACATGAGTACTGGGTTTTCTCCTACTGTCCTAAAGCCGAAAATCTGCCCACAATCCCTGGCAGGCCGCCAGCTCAGACTCCCCAGCACTTCTGTGGCTGCACCCACAGCCCCAGCAGGCACTGCCCCCTCTCCCCAGTGGGACCCTCACCCTTTCCCTCTGCACAGCTCTGTTTCCTTCCCAGTCTCTGTGGAGAGAAGTCAGTTCCTGGACACATTTTCAGAAAAACAAAAACTCTCATGACCATGAGCTGTCCATTCTGACTCTCACGGAGAGAGACCAGGCACCTGAAATGAGAACATCCCACAGTTCCTCTGTGAGCCTCCTCGGGGCTGCTGGCCTTGGTGGCCTGAGACCCAGGGTGTCCATCTGCTTCATCTTAAGGAGACTCTGGTGGGGACAAGCCACAACTGGCGGAAGGTGAGATAACACTCAAGCAAATCCATCCAAAGCCATTTGGCAATTTCTCTGTCAGTACTCACCAATGAAATACACAAAGGTGTTCCCAACTCTTAATAACCTCTTCACCTGGCCTTGAAGTTGATTGTTTGGTTTTCGGTTGGGTTTTCTGCTGGCTGTTTCAAACCTTTGCTGCTAAATTCCACAGCCTTGGGCTAGTGACTTTGGTGAGAAGGCCCAGCTCCCTGGTGCAGCCCAGTGAGGCTGATGGGCTCCAGCCTCCTTTGATGAGGCCCAAGAGCCACAAAGGATTTAGGAAGGGCCCTTTCTCTGTGACCCTCATCTCACCTGCCATCTTTGCTTGATGGTCCTCTTCCTGACCACACTCTGCCCTCTGCAGGGCAGCCCCCACCCTGTCCCCATCTGCCCGTCTCCTTCCTGCCATATCATGTCCTCAGTGCCCAACCAAGACCCCAGCCCATGCACGGTGCTCAGTAAATGCCCGTCTTCTGCCAGGATGGACCCAGCCTTGTTGGTGCTTGATCGCCCGAGGAGGAAGCACAATGACTCTGTTTGAACGTAGAGTATGGTCAGTAGAGACGGTCTGTCTGCATGTCACAGAGCTGCCCCAGGGTGCTCTGGGCCACGAGCCGATGATGTAGGGGGTTCATGTCCATAAGACAGGACCACACTTTGGTTTCCAGCAGGACATGAGAAAACACACTCAGCCCATAATGACTCACTGCAGGGTCCTCAGTCCTCCTAGCAGCATAGTAGGTGTGAATGTGGGGACAGGCTGGGAGGATCCGGAACTTCTGTCAAAATAAGAACATGGCCTATGGTGGGTTTCTACAAAGTAGGAACTAGAAAGTGACGATTGCTGTGCCAGCCTGCGGGTGGAAGAGGTCACCTCCAGCCAGTGTGTGTCGGGGGAGGGATTAGGGGGTGGGAGAAGGGACTGGGGGACAGGGACATGTCAGGGAAAGATTCATGGGGCAGGACTTGCCAGGAAATCATAGTAGGTGGGATTTACTTTTGGGGTCTGCAGAATGACCCCCATTTTACCGATGAGGTGATGGAGGCTCAGAAAGGTTAAGTAGCTGCCCAAGGCCACACAGCAGGTGAGTGGTGGAGCTCAGCCTTGAACCTGAGTGACGCTGTGCCTCCACAGCTGCAAGCCCCTGATCAAGACCGTACTTAATGGATGGATGGATGGAGGAGGAAGTCGTGGTGTATACAGACAATGGAATATTATTCAGCCATAGAAAACGAGGAAATCCTACCATTTGTGACAACATGGATGGACCCTGAAGGCATTATGCTGAGTGAAGTCAGACAGAGAAAGACAAATAGTGTATGACCTCACTTATATGTGGAACCTAAAAAAACAACAAGAAAAATCCCACCAAACTCATAGAAAAAGAGATCAGAGTTGTGGTTACCAGAGATGGGGGCTGGGGCAGGCGTCATTGGAGGAAGGTGCTCACAAGGTACCAACCTCCGGTTATGAGATAAAGAAGTACTTGGGATGTAATGTCGAGCACGGTGACTGCAGCGAACACTGCTGTACGATGCCTCCCGGCCCCTGGAGGCCTGGCTGATGAATACCTCAAGCTCTTCGCTTGCTCCGGCTCCCTCAATCATGGGTGGCGACTGCACTCTTGCCTTGGTTTCCTTCCCAAAGGAAGGAGCTGAGCATTTGGGCACCTGTTCATTCTGAACTTTTGCGTCGGTGTCAGGGCTGCACCTCTAATTTTATCAAAATCATTACCCTCCCTCTGGCCCCACGTTGAATAGAAACAGAGACATTGGGGAGCCCTCAGACTATAGAGTGAACTCGGGACCTGGGTTAAGAATCTCCCTTCTGCTGTTCACTCGCTGTGCAACTTCAGACAGATCCCTTGGTTTCTGAGCCTTGGCTTTCTCATCCACAAATAGCAACAGCGCTCCCTCCTCACAGGGCTGTTTGTGGATTGAAGGAGACAACGTGTGTCGAGTGTCCTGTGCAGTGCCTGCTGGGAGGCAGCTTCAAGATGTGGAAGCTGGTGTCAACAGATGCTCACAATCCCCGGGGACTCGTCACCATCACACGTGTGTGCCCTTCCACTCTCAGAAGAAAAGTGCTCTCCCCTATTGGACACAGATTCCATTAGAGAACATTCTGGTTCTTGCTCACACACCTGCGTCCCACCTCATTTCCTGGCAGTCGCCTCCCGGGCCTGAGGCTGTTGCTGTCCCTTCCTTTCAGCAAGTGGCAGTTTCTGTTCTGGTCCCTGCAGGAGCCACCAACCACGAATTCCTGTAACTCAGAAGATGGGAAGGCCATGGAACCAATCCCACAGTCAGCTGCTGAGAGCTGAACCAGAGGATGACCCATGTGAGAGGCCCCCCCGCCTAGCTGGGAGCACTTACACGGGGTCCTCACGGCCTCGCAATGCTGGGGAAGGAAAACCAATTCGAAAAGGTCCTGGAACTTTCACCAGCAAATAGAATCTCAGCCCCAGTAGGAACCGCCCTTGTGGATGCGCTTCTTCCGTGGGTCACCCCCGTTGCTGCCACTGTGCCATCAGTGGCACCACGTGATGACATGGACCAGGTGACACCTAGGGCGGCAGCTGGATGCCTGCTCCTCTGTCGGGCCTTAGTCACCGGGCCAGCCTGCTCTGACATTTCACTCTTGGGCCGGTGGGGTAGATGGGGGCCCACTCAGCTGTAATGTAGGGGACAGAAGTAGTATTGCTGAGACAGAATAGGGACAGGACTCTGCCCCTCACCCTTAACCACCAGGTCCGGCACCTACCAGCTCAACTATTTTTGAAGTCAACTTAAGCACTCTTCCAACCACAAATCTCCCCTAAGCAGTCGCCCTGACTCCCGCATGCGCACAAAGCCTCGAGATGACCTGTAGACGACCTTCCTGGGGTGGTGTAGCAAGCAACACCGCCATGTTGGATCTTCTGGGCAGGCGCAGATGACACCACCAGGGAGAAGTAAGCAGAATGCCTGTGGAGGAGAATCATGACTGACACCAGGCTGCTCCCTGACCCCATAAAAGGCTCAGGAGGGCTTCCTTCTGGGAGCCAGCCAGAAAGCCACTTCTCCTGTGCTGCCTCCCTTGTGCTGGAACATGAGCCACAGTAAAACCTTGTCTGAGAGGTTGGTTGAGCCTCTTGTCCACTAGGGTCAATATCATTGCCACTGGCAACCCTTCTGGCTCTGCCTTGGTTCACTGGGGTCCTGAGCACTACCTTCAGCCCAGAAGGCTCCATGTTGCCTCCGTGAAAACCTCTTGTCTCCCGCTCCAGCACCGCCCACTAAGGGGGGCCGCGTCCTCTCACCACCTACAGCTACGCCCCGCTGGCCTCTGAGTCCTGCCCTGGGATGTAGAGCAGGACAGCAGGACTACCCTAACCTGCTCCTTACCCCTCCGCCTCCCCACCCCCACGTCCCACTCACACTGTCCTGCCATCGCCTCCTACCCCCACCACCATCTGCAGGAGCCCCTCCCAGCCCCCAGGCTCCTCTACAACCAGGCCAGGGCCAGCTCAGTCACAGATTCTCTGTCCCTCTCAAGAGATGTCTTGTAGTTCACAAAATAGGCTGACATCTTTCTTCTGGTGATGCAGTGTGCGCATGCACTGTTGCTAATTATATGAGCAATACCCGCTCCCTTTGGCTCAAGTGTTTCCACATACTCGCTATTTTACATACGTTATCTCATTAATTGCCCAGCAACT